CTCTTCGCAAACGAAAAGATGCCAGAAAATATCCAGAAATGATTACTGCTGAAATTTCTGTAAAATGTTTCAGTAGCTACGACAGTTTCAAAAGTTTCCTTCAGCACTGAAAGTTGTAATGGGGTTACTAGCCACGTCAGTTTTAAACATTACTTTTCCAAAAGGGTTGGAGTCACTTTACCTGGAGACCTGGAGTTTACCTGGAGAGAGTTTCGGGGGTCAACGCCCCCGCGGCCCGGTCTGTGACCAGGCCTCCTGGTGGATCAGCGCCTGATCAACCAGGCTGTTGCTGCTGGCTGCATGCAAACCAACGTACGAGCCACAGCCCGGCTGATCAGGAACTGACTTTAGGTGCTTGTCCAGTGCCAGCTTGAAGACTGCCAGGGGTCTGTTGGTAATCCCCCTTATGTGTGCTGGGAGGCAGTTGAACAGTCTCGGGCCCCTGACACTTATTGTATGGTCTCTTAACGTGCTAGTGACACCCCTGCTTTTCATTGGGGGGATGGTGCATCGTCTGCCAAGTCTTTTGCTTTCGTAGTGAGTGATTTTCGTGTGCAAGTTCGGTACTAGTCCCTCTAGGATTTTCCAGGTGTATATAATCATGTATCTCTCCCTCCTGCATTCCAGGGAATACAGGTTTAGAAACCTCAAGCGCTCCCAGTAATTGAGGTGTTTTATCTCCGTTATGCGCGCCGTGAAAGTTCTCTGTACATTTGGTTACAGTAGCTATCAAGAATATGATATACAATATATAAAAGAAAAAATACTTGTGAGTGACCTTAGAATGTGGAAACAATATGAGTGAAATACTCTGTTTGCTCTTTAATAATTAAACAAATTTCCCTTTCTCTCTCAGAATCTTTTCACATATTCGTTTATCTCTATATTAATACTAAAAAATTTCATCTCATCAGCCAGAAAATATAATTTACCATCTCAGGAGACACCTAAAAGTTTCGTTTACCCTCACTCTGCCATCATCTCACTGGCTGCTGTTTTTATTACAACATTGGCAGTTTCACATCAAGACAGGATGACCCAAAAACGAAGAAACACTTTCATCACCACTCACTCCATCACTGTCTTGCCAAAGGTGTCCCTACACCACACTCCCCTCACTCACACCCTATGATGCGACCCACCAGACTCCCCTCTCACACCCCATGATGCGGCCCACCACACTCCCCTCACACACCCCATGATGCGACCCACCACACTCCCCTCACTCACACCATATGATGCGACCCACCAGACTCCCCTCACCCCCCCAATGTGCGACCCACCAACTGCCATCACACCCCATGATGCGACCCATCACACTCCCCTCACACACCCATGATGCACCCACCAGACTCCCCTCACACACCCCATGATGCGACCCACCAGACTCCCCTCACCCCCAATGATGACGGACCCACCACACTCCCCTCACACACCCATGATGCGCCCACCACACTCCCTCACACACCCCATGATGCGACCCACCAACTCCCTCACACACCCCATGATGCGCCCACCACACTCCCCTCACACACCCCATGATGCGACCCACCACACTCCCCTCACTCACACCCTATGATGCGACCCACCAGCACTCCCCTCACCCCCCCATGATGCGACCCACCACACTCGCCTCACACACCCCATGATGCGACCCATCACACTCCCCTCACTCACTCCCTATGATGCGACCCACCAGACTGCCCTCACACACCCCCAATGATGCGACCCACCAGACTCCACTCACACGCCCTGTGATGCGACCCACCACACTCCCCTCACACACACCCCATGATGCAACCCACCAGACTCCCCTCACACACTCCCAATGATCGACCCACCACACTCCCCTCACACACCCCATGATGCGACCCCCACACTCCACACACCCCATGAGCGACCCACACACTCCCCTCACACACCCCATGATGCGACCCACCACACTCCCCTCACACACCCATGATGCTACCCACCACACTCCCTCACACACCCCATGATGCGACCCACCACACTCCTCTCACACACCCCATGATGCGACCCACCACACTCCCCTCACACACTCCCATGATACGGCCACCACACTCCCTCACACACCCATGATGCGACCCACCACACTCCCCTCACACACCCCATGATGCGACCCACCACACTCCCCTCACACACCCCATGATGCGACCCACCACACTCCCCTCACACACCCCATGATGCGACCACCACACTCTCTCACACACCCCATGATGCGACCACCACACTCCCCCTCCACACACCCATGATGCGACCCACCACACTCCATCACCCACCCATGATGCGACCCACCACACTCCCCTCACACACCCAATGATGCGACCCACCATACTCCCTCTCACACCCCCATGATGCGACCACACCATACTCCCTCACACACCCCATGATGCGACCCACTCACCTCATCTCACTCCTATGATGCGACCCACCAACTGCCCTCACACACCCCATGATGCGACCCACCAGACTCACTCACAGCCCTGTGATGCGACCCACCATCACTCCCCTCACACACTCCCATGATGCAACCCACCAGACTCCCCTCACACATTCCCAATGATCGACCCACCAACTCCCCTTCACACACCCCATGATACGGCCCACCACACTCCCCTCACACACCATATTCCCCCCAAACCCATGATGCGACCCACCACACTCCTCACACACCCCATGTGTTACCCACCACACTCCCTCACACACCCCATGATGCGACCCACACCTCCTCCACACACCCCATGATCGACCCCACTCCCCTACACACACCATGATGCGACCCACCACACTCCCCTCACCCACCCATGATGCGACCCACCACACTCCTCACACACCCCATGATGAGACCACCATACTCCCCTCCACACCCCATGATGCGACCACCACACTCCCCTCACACCCCATGATGCGGCACACATCCTCACACACCATGATGTGCCCCACACTCCCCTCACACACCCATGATTCGACCACACACTCCCTAACACAACCCTGATTCGACCCACACACACCCCTCACACACCCACCATGATGCGACCCACCACACTCCCCTCACACCCCATGATGCGACCACCCACTCCCCCTCTCACACACAATTCCCTCCAACACCCATGATGCGACCCACCACACTCCCTCACCCCCATGATGGACCCACCACTCCCCCACACACACATGATGTGACCCACACACTCACCCCACACACACACCATGATGCGACCCACCACACTCACCCCACACACACACCATGATGCGACCCACTACACTCACCTCACACACCCCATGATGCGACCCACCACACTCACCTCACACACACTCCCCATGATGCGACTCACCACACTCCCCTCACACCCCATGATGCGACCCACCATACTCACCTCATGCACACACACCATGATGTGACCCACTACACTCAAACACACCCAATGATGCGACCCACCATACTCCCCTCACACATTCCCCATGATGCGACCCACCATACACCCCTCACACACTCCCCATGATGCGACCCACCACACTCATCTCACACACCTCATGATGCGACCCACCATACTCCCCTCACACCCCCATGATGCGGCCCACCATACTCACCTCACACACCCCATGATGCGACCCACCATACTCCCCTCACACACTCCCCATGATGCGACCCACCATACTCCCCTCACACATTCCCCATGATTCGACCCACCATACTCCCCTCTCACACTCCCCATGATGCGACCCACCATACTCCCCTCACACTTTCCATGATGCGACCCACCACACTCACCTCACACACACCCAATGATTCGACCCACCACACTCCCCTCACACACCCCATGATGCGACCCACCACACTCAAACACACTCCATGATACGACCCACCACACTCACACACCATGATGCGACCCACCACACTCCCCTCACACTCCATGATGCGACCCACTACACTCACCTCACACACCCCATGATGCGACCTACCACACTCCCTCACACCCCATGATGCGACCCACCACACTCCCCTCACACCCCATGATGCGACCCACCACTCTCCCCTCTCACACACCCCATGATGCGACCCACCACTCTCCCCTCACACACCCCATGATGCGACCCACCACACTCCCCTCACACCCCATGATGCGACCCACCACTCTCCCCTCTCACCACACCCATGATGCGACCCACCACTCTCCCCTCACACACCCCATGATGCGACCCACCACTCTCCCCTCACACACTTCATGATGCGACCCACACACTCCCCTCACACCATGATGCGACCCACCACCTCCCCTCACACACCCCATGATGCGACCCACCACTCTCCCCTCACACACCCCATGATGCGACTCACCACTCTCCCCTCACACACCCCATGATGCGACCCACCACTCTCCCCTCACACACCCCATGATGCGACCCACCACTCTCCCCTCACACACCCCATGATGCGACCCAACACTCTCCCCCTCATACACAACTACCCATTTTTACCCCTAGACGACCACAACTGCGAGGATATTTGCCCCATACATACCACCAGCCCGGGGATCGAACCCGGGAGTTTTCCCTTGTAAACCCGGCAGTGTCACCCCTTTGTTACCTGTTTATAAGTATGAGGTAGAACACCGTGTGCTTGTGGGATGGGTAGTTTGCTAGTTTGCAGCAACTACCCACATTAAATCATTTGTTGACTACATGTTAGAATAAAGAATAAGTGATCGTAGAGTTAATGATAAAATGTATCTGGGTGTATTTGTGTTGTAATAGGTGTCTAGTGTTTAAGTAATCTGTCAGTATTATGACTAGCTTGCCTGAAATGGACCGCATGATAGGGTTTTTTTTTTGCGCTTAACAATATTTTGTTACATATAAACTACATTGTTATATACTGCAGGAAAGAAATAAAGTTGTATTTTATTGTTTTGTATGGTAGTATAGTGTTGGATGGGTAGTTGTTGTAGCTTAACTTGTTTACCAACAGAGGGACGGCTGTGACGTCACCACAGAGAAATCTCAGGGTCGTCTCCTATACCGCTGGTATTTTGCTATTTTTCTTTCCGTACATAGCATTTCTACTCTCTTCTTTACTCATGCCTAATCTATAACTATTTGTCCTTGCTTCTGTTCGCAAGTAAGCGTGTTATTTGGCCGGGGTGGAGCCTAAATATGCAAATAAAAATTGCCTCTAACATGTCTCGGAAATTTGAGGGTCGGAGGACATTTTTTTTAACATTTCATTGTTTTGTTGCTGTTTGCTGATGAATATGTGGCTTACACATAGTGCTTGAGTCACTCATGTTTATGTTGCTTCACTGGTGTGAGCAGCATGTCACCTGGGTGCTACGTACACCTGTAATTTAGCAGGCATCAGGGGACTCCAAACACTACAACAGGAAAATCGTATTGTTAAAGTTGCTTGAAGTTGAATATACAAGTGGAATAAAACCTTCAGTGAAGGTCTTGGGTGCTGCTGGAGGGATCCTCATCCAAGGGATCGGAGCTGCTTTCCCCTGTTATATATGGAATGTGATTACCTGCCAGTCAACAGACCCCGACTGATCCCTACAGGTTTAGTGCTTGACTGAATTTATTATCACAGGTGAAATATCGATGAGTAATATGGGAACTTTAATTGAATGTTTCCATAATATAGTGTCTTTATTCCAGTTTGTGGGTAATTTATACCTCAATTTTAATGGTGTACTCTAGGTACTCTATCTATACTCCTACTGACAAGTACAGTAAACTCTCCATATAATGGACTAATAGGAGGAAGTGGGTGACAGGTAATGGCAAGTCTGGTGGATGGCAAAGATATTATTTTGCTATGATTGAAACAATAGCAGACAATTCTGTAATAATTGGACTAGTCCATCATTTCCAAATCAACTGATCCAGTGGATTTTGCTCTGTATTTCTGATGTCCATTATATAGAGGTCCATTCTATGGAAGGTTTACCATAGATGAGAATGACAAGCACAACAGTTTAATATCTTTATTAATGAGAAGTTTCATCTGCTCAGTAAGCTTCTTCAGTTGAAATACACAAAGAGGTGACAGCAGAAGTTGTGGAGCTACAGAGCTGAACACAAGCCAAGGCTGAGGGAATGATCACTTCGTATCTACACTCCACACCTGCTGTCAACTCTGTATTTCGATGGAAGGAGACTTCTTAGCAGGTGAAAAGTTTCTTTAATAGAGATATCAAAATATTGCACCTGTGTCTTGCTTTGGAAAATGAACTGAATAATTTTAAAATTATAAATGTGAATTGTTTAATATAAACAAACACAAAAAAAAATTAGGTATTGATTGAATGTTGCTTCTAGGCATATTTAGGCAATAGATTTTAGTTTAAAATGTTCAGTATAGAGTGAGATCTGCCGTAGAGATGGCTTTAAGTTGTGCAGTGAGGTAATGCACAGCACTCTATGACCCTGATGTTTAGCACTTAGCTTTGATTATATTAATAATAATAATGAGGCAATCCAAATAAAACTTAAAATTACTTGAATAAGGTAACTCAGCATAACCTGGCATGACCTAATGTAACAGAATGTAACTTATTCCACTATCAGCAGAGATGTAAATGGTGTATGTATTTTATGTTTGCTGTGATTGGCCAGGCATATTGACTCTGTACTAATCATTGATGGGTCCCTGATGCTGTATTCGAGTCAAATTCATGGTATTATTTTTGCTGGTATCTCCCAATTAACTATTAATACTTTGGTCTAGATTGCTTGGATGTATAGTAAAATACAGAATAATGTCTGAGTTTCACCAAGGAGCAGCTTTCAATTCTAGCCAAAACTTATTTTTAAAATAGCTATACATACCTTTTAGATTAATTGTGAAAAGCCCCTGATTATACAGCAGAACATTTTGGGCAGACTAATACTAGATATTGAAATTAGATTATTTGACTGCAAAGTTTTAAAGACTCTGCTGTAATTATGTTGTCTGTAGATAGAATAATTAAATGCAATCAGATAATTTTTAGTATTAAAACTCTGTGTATTTAAATAATTTTGTTATGATGGGATAGTAAATAAAAAACTATTAACAATATTACAGTGTTAATAATTATTATTCAGTGAAAGGTCAGGTTTTGTCTACAATCCTCTCAAGGGAGGTTAAGATAAGATTTTCTTTGGGTTTTTAAACCTGGAGGGTTAGCCACCCAGGATAGCCCAAGAAAATCAGTACGTCATCGAGGACTGTCTAACTTATTTCCATTGGGGTTCTTAATCTTGTCCTCCAGGATGCAACCCACACCAGTCGACTAACACCCAGGTACCTCTTTGCTGCTAGGTGAACAGGACAACAGGTGTAAGGAAAACACGTTGAAATGTGTCCACCCGCTGGGAATCGAACCCGAGCCCTTTGTGTGTGAAGCGAGAAGTATAGCCACCGGGCCACCTTATTGTCTGTGGAGGGTTCTTGATCTAAGATACTGAAGCTACCCTCTGCTTCCTCAGATCAAACCAGAACTCTGTCACTGTAAGACCTCTACAGGTTTAATGCTTCCTTATTGTAATAATGATAATAATAATATGTAATAGCATTAATATAACATTCAACAAAGTCTAACATTTTGATGCCACTGTGTGACTAAAAAAATTGGATGTAATAAATGTATAGTTCATTAATAAACTATTAATGTCAGGAAACTACTTTTTCAAATTATAAAAGCAATATAATTCACATGTGATAATGCAAGTACAGTGGAACCTCAAATATCGAACTTTCTTCAGTCCAGAAGGCTGTCCGAGTGCCGTTACCGAATGAATTTATTCCTATCAGGAATAATGTAAATTAGATTAGTCCATTTCAGACCCTCAAAAATACACTTATAAAAGCACTTACAAAAATACACTTACATAATTGGTTGAGTTGGGAGCAGTTCGATTTTTGAGGTTCCACTGTACTGACATACAGTATCACAATTTTACAGTATGCACAAGGTCAAAATCACTGCATAACTGTTTGGTCAGGTTTGATAAACTTTTTTTTTTTTTTTTTATCTGACTCAGTGTTTGAAAGATATTGAGTTACATGAGGTTAAGCACATTAGTATTTTATAGGTAAAATGAATTCAGACTGACTAACGTTTGTTTAGTCACATATTATTTGAGATTACTCAGATTTGGTAAAACCTTAAGGGCTCTTGATCAAAGGAATTGGATCTGACCTTCCTCTGGATCAGACTTGATTGCCTCCCATTCCATAAGTGAAATGCTGTATGACTTATGGGTTTAGCACTTTTCTATGAACGTAATACAGTAATGACACTAATAATGACGTGATTTGGTGAGAGGTGCTTCATTTATATTCTGATTATGGCAGAGTAATAAATGGAAGGTCAAGTTCCATTCTTTTTTTTTTTTTTAAACACATTGGCCAATTCCCACCAAGGCAGGGTGGCCTGAAAAAGAAAAGCTTTCATCATCATTCACTCTATCAGTCTTGCCAGAAGGGTCCTTTACACTACATTTATAAAATTACAACATTAACATCCCTCCTTCAGAGTGCAGACACTGTACTTCCCATCTCCAGGACTCAAGTCCGGCCTGCCAGTTTCCCTGAATCCCTTCATAAATGTTGCTTTGCTCACACTCCAACAGCACATCAAGCATAAAAAACCATTTGTCTCCATTCTCTCCTATCAAATACTTTCATGTATGTTTGCTGGAAGTCCAAGCTCCTCACATACTAAACCTCCTTTACCCCCTCCCTCCAACCCTTCCTAGGCCAACCAATGCCCCACCTTCCCCACACTACAGACTTATACACTCTTGAAGTCATTCTGTTTTCTTCCATTCTCTCTACATGTCCAAACCACCTCAACAACCCCTCCTCAGCCCTCTGGATAATAGTTTTGGTAATCCCACACCTTCTAATTTCCAAACTACGAATTCTCTGCATTATATTCACACCACACATTGCCCTCAGACGTGACATCTCCACTGCCTTCAGCCTTCTCCTCATTGCAACATTCATCACCCATGCTTCACACCCATACAAGAGTGTTGGTACTCTCATACATTCCCCTCTTTGCTTTCATGGATAAAATTCTTTGTCTCCACAGACTCCTAAGTGCACCACTCACCCTTTTCCCCTCATCAGTTCTATGATTCACTTCATCCTTCATAGACCCATCTGCTCACACGTCCACTCCTAAATATCTGAAATACATTCACCTCCTCCATACTCTCTCCCTCCAATCTGATATCCAATCTTTCATCACTTAATCTTTTTGTTATCCTCATACCTTACTCTTTCCCATATTCACTTTTAATTTTCTTCTTTTACATACCCTACCAAATTCATCCACCAACCTCTGCAACTTCTCTTCAGAATCTCCCAAAAGCACAGTGTCATAAGCAAAGAGCAACTGTGACAACTCCCACTTTGTGTTTGATTCTTTATCTTTTAACTCCACACTTCTTGCCAAGACCCCTGCATTCACTTCGCTTACAACCCCATCTATAAATATATTGAATAACTGCGGTGACATCACACATCCTTGTCTAAGGCCTACTTTTACTGGGAAATAATCTCCTTCTCTCCTACATACTCTAACCTGAGCCTCACTATCCTTATAAAAACTCTTCACTGCTTTCATTAACCTACCTCCTATACCATACACCTGCAACATCTGCCACATTGCCCCCCTATCCACCTTGTCATATGCTTTTCCAAATCCATAAATGCCACAAAACCCTCTTGACCCTTATCTAAATACTGTTCACCTGTATGTTCCATTCATCAGTACATATTGTATCCAGTATGTATTGATTGGGGACCTGAAATTGCACGTGTGGAAACAATTGAAAAAAAAAAAAAAACAGTCCATTCAATTACATATTATGGTATTCATTTTAACAAAAGTACTGCATTATCTTGAGATAGGACTGGTTGTACTAAATATCACCAGATTTATCTTTAAACAGGACACACATCTGTATGTGTGAGTCCTTGTTTTATATAAGGGGTGGAAAATATAGCTCCGTAATGCCAGCAGATGCTTTGCCATGGTATATAGTACTAGTAAGCCTGTGGTTGCTTAATTACTGATACCCAGGATAGGTAGCACAGCATTTGTATTACCACTGAGTGGGTTATTGCTTGACAAAGACCCTTATCAGGAAGCACTTAACTGTTTCTTAACAAATGAGCCTCCACCATCTATCTGTCTTCAGAAAGTGAAATTATTGAACTCAAGGAAATAAGTTTAGTAACTTGATGAAAAATGTAGGCTTAAATCCTTCTTAATTCTGACTCTAGTAATGATTTGGCAATACAGTACTTAATCTATGAATGTCAACAGGTTAACAGGCAATCTTGCTTAGGAAGCTACCATTAGCCTTCAAGAATGAAGGTACTCTTCTAAACTGACCTCCATTTAATATACTGTATATTAAAAAAACTGAACAGTAGACGAAGTCCTTTGGTCACAGAAATGTTCATTATTGTTACAATTGCAGCAAAACACCCTTTTCTCTATCCACCACAATTGCTATTACAGCTACCTGCTTCCCTGATTAAGCCATTAAATAGAGGATTTGCTGTATTTAAATAACCATACCTAATCCTATGCCTTGCCATTGCTTGCTATAAGAAAGGATTTTGTGTGCATTATGATTGAACCTTGAATCATTAACCTCTTACCAAACACAGATGCATACTTTCTCATCCTACTTTCATGGCTTTTGCTGCTGTATAGTCCTTGTGGCTTAGCGCTTCTTTTTGATTATAATAATAATAATAAATGGCTTTTGCTCCTTGTATACAACTTACCATTTATATATTGTATTTAACCACCACCACATGCTTAGACCAGTTTAACAAATTTAAGGTAAGATTTAAAAACTTCATTAACATCTAACAGTTTGAAATGGCTTTTTTAATAATAAAATTACAGCATGTGTCTGTATCTTGTTCTTGTATTAGATATTGAAAAATAACAAAAACATACTACAGGTTGACCATCACTAATCCAGCATCATCGGGACATATAGGGTGCCGGATTAGTGATTTTGCCGGTTTACAGAGTGGTTAGGTTAGGATACATTTAACCCAACAGCGATATCTACTCATCATGAATTTCACCCAATTTATGCCCTATTTTTGGCCCGTTCCATTGTTTCAGTCTACCAAACTCATAGTTATTTCGCCATTATTCCTTATATTCTGTCGACTGAATACAAGAAACCACTTGTTTACCTATTTCGGCTACCCAATAAAGTGGTCAGAAATCAGTAATTTGGTCAATTTCACACAAATTTCAAGAGATGCCAGTTGTAAAATAGGGCCCAAAATAAACATTGTGGACATTCCTGGCACTAAAATAACATTTTCTCTGTTCATTAGTCACATCTCAGGCCCCTCTTATATTATGCTTGCTTTCCATTTTGAATTTTTATTCACAGAGAAAATAGAAGATTTATTGTTATACAACCTACTGCATTATTGTACTGTATAAATAATGTCAACCCATTCATGACCGTGTGTTAGACTGGCCAGTTAGACATGTATTGGACAGTGACATCATTTGTTTACTCTTGAGCATTGGCAAAAATTGTATATTTCCGCTACTTTGAACCCAATTTCAAAGTACGTACTTTTCAATGTGAAACCAATTAAAACTATATCTGTTTCTGTAATATATCTTTCGTTCTATCAAATGAGACCATAAAAACGAGAATACAACCATACAAACCGCATGAAAATACACTGCAAAGTTGCTGTTTTGCACCAAAGGCACTATCACCATTTTTTTCTCATTATGCACTGCATACTGCAGGATTTTTTTTTATATTGTGCACACTTACCACACAGATCTGTTCTCTCACATGTAGGCCCAAATTTACCAGTTACAGCTTATCTGAGTGAGCTGAGCTCATGGCGACCGACAGTAGCTTCAAAGCCACCTCATCTCTTATGGACAATGTATGGTGTATGTGCTTTACATAACGAGCAGCATTTCTTTTTTTCTATGGAACCATGGCTAGGGCTAAAATTGAGCAGGTTATAACAAATGGAGAAAAAGAAATTGGAATGACTGATGCAGCAAGTAGCACCACCAAGCGGTAGTGGCAGGTTGTTGTGGTGACCCCGGAAATTTGTAATTACTGATGGAACTGGATTACTTATTGCTGGATTAGTGATGGCCGACCTGTACAGTGGACCCCCGGTTAACGATTTTAATCCGTGCAAGAGGGGTAATTGTTATGCGAAATAATCGCTATGTGAATGAATTTTCCCCATAAGAAATAATGGAAATCAAATTAATCCGTGCAAGACACCCAAAAGTATGAAAAAAAAATTTTTACCACATGAAATATACATTTTCCCACACACAAAGAGAAGGATACATGCACAATAGTAGAGTAGTACATGCACAGTATATATTGTGCATGTACTAGTCTACTAAATGAAGAATAAATGACACTTACCTTTATTGAAGATGCAGCAATGACTGATGAGACACTGTGTCCTGGGAGTGCCTTTTCCTCCTGAGTACTGTAGGTCCTGTTTGGCATTTTCTTCCAGAACAGGCCTTATCACACTGTGTATGCCACTACGATTCTTAAATCTCTCAAACCAACCTTTGCTGGCTTTAAATTCACCAATATGAGCACTAGTTCCAGGCATTTTTCCCTGTTCACCTGGGTGTTAGTCGACTTGTGTGGGTTGCATCCTGGGAGACAAGATTAAGGACCCCAATGGAAATAAGTTAGACAGTCTTCGATGACACTGACTTTTTTGGGTTATCCTGGGTGGCAAATCCTCTGGGGTTAATTGTTTCTTGGTATTCTCAATAAGCCACACCAACAACGGTGCTACAGCACAGCACAGCAGCAGCAGCAGCTGACAGTGCAGCAGCAGCAGCAGCTGTACCACCAATAGTAGCGATGGTTGATTGGGGTTTATTATACAACCTGGCCAGCTCGGAGACATGCACTCCACTTTCATACTTATCAATGATCTTTTTCTTCATCTCTATTGTAATTCTCACCCTTATTGCTGTAGGGTTGGCACTAGAAGCTTTCTTGGGGCCCATGGTCACTTATTTTCCAGAAAAAGCACCGAAAACACTGTAATAATACGAAATATTCCGATTGTATGCTTGGATGTTACCGCGGAGGCTGGCTGGTAAACAATGCCACCGGCGGAACATGTGAGCGTGGCTCAGGCCGCACATTGGACGGGTCTCGGACGAAAATCGGTAAGCGGGTTTTTAAGCGGTATGTGAGGCAAAATTTTTGCAATTAAAGTAAGCGGTATGCGAAATAATCGCTATGTGATGCCATCGTTATGCGGGGGTCCACTGTACAAGTAATATTTTTGTTTTTACTACACTGACCATTTTCCACCCAGTTCGGGTGACCTAAAGTTTAGAAGGAAACATATTGACCATTTTTCATTCAATAACTGTCTTGCCAGAATTGTACATACAGCACAGTTCAAATGACTCTTCAGACTGCAACATTCGTAACCATTCTTTAGTGTTCAAGCACTTTACAGTACAGTGGACCCCTGCTTAACGATCACCTCCCAATGCGACCAATTATGTAAGTGTATTTATGTAAGTGCGTTTGTACGTGTATGTTTGGGGGTCTGAAATGGACTAATCTACTTCACAATATTCCTTATGGGAACAAATTCGGTCAGTACTGGCACCTGAACATACTTCTGGAATGAAAAAATATCGTTAACCGGGGGTCCACTGTATTTCAGATCTCCAGAACTCGCCTCAAATTCTAAACTAAAAACCACTTGTGTGTACTTGCTCTGATTAAGCACACACACATACCTGATCGATGCTCAAACGCCTACCATTCAAAATCACCTTCACCCACTCCCTCCAATCCATCAACTTGAGAATGGAATACAATCTAGCTACAGTATACACTATCTAGCCCTCTAGATCTACATGTTTTCTATTTTAAAAACTGGTATAAATGTAGATCTAGAGGAAGGGCAGAGAACTTTTTTCCCTTCAATTGTTCAAGTAGTACTGAATTATTGAGAATGTGTAAAATGTCTCAAATTGTACACCTTGGTGTTCAAGCAAGAAATTGCATTGTAATTTTATACAAGAAAAAGTATTTGAACTGGTCCTAAAACTGTTCATTGAAATAACACTTTATGAGAGTGGGAGGTATTGTAGATGGTGCAAAACAGCCCAAATGAAAAGCATGCTTACATTGAGATGGTAAGCATGAAGGGTATGAGGCATTTCTACACTAACTGTTCAAATACAGTGCATAAGGGGGAACTACCAACTAACTCCTGTCTTCAAAGTCTTACAGACTGTTACCTATTACCTCGGCTGTTGTGACTATGTGAACTGTGATCATGTATTTATTTATTTATTGTCTGACTGGACAGGAGGTAGTGCAAGAGGCCAAATCAGAGACCAGGCTGTTGGGCATGCTGATACCTGCCAATAGATGCTAGGGAACTCAGTGGTTACCTGTGGGAGTTATGCAGTCAAAACATTACTTAATAGCTTTATACATGTAACATGGTTTTAAAAATTTGAACTATGTAGCACTTGATTGCAAATTTAATAACTACAGTAATTATGTTTTTGTTTGAAATAGTTATTTTTAGTATGCATCTCTCAGATGTATTGTAAATATTGGTGACCGGATACCTGAGGAAAGCTTCCAGGGATCAACACCTCTGCGGCCTCCCAAGTCCCAGTGGATCAAGACCTATTTAACCTATCTGTTACTGTTGGATTCACACAGTCCAACTTAGGAGCCACAACTTGGCTGGTCAGGAGCTGGTTTGTGGAACCTGTGAAGTTCCCTCTTGAAGACAGCCAGAGGTTTGTTGGTAATTCCCCTTATGCATGAAGGGAGGGCATTGTAAATTTGGGGACCTCTGACATTCGTAAAGTTCTCTCTTAAGTGTAATCATCACGCTTCTATTTTTTTTTTATTTGAGGTACTTTACAATGTCTGCCAAGTCTGTTTTCAAATGGAGTGAGTTTGGTGTGCAGGTTTGGGATCATTCCTCCAGGAATTTCCAGGTATAAATTATAATGTACCATCCTTGCCTATGTTCTGTGGAATACAGTTAGAGACTTGAAGCAGTCCTAGTAGCTCAGATGTTTGATTGTATATATATAGGCAGTGAAAGTTCTGTGTGTTTTCTAGTGTAGTTTTGAAAGTTATGGTTATCCAACCTATCATTTTCCTTGTGATAGCAATAGCAACATTGTTGTAATCCTTGCATGTGAGATGACTCTATTGAATGGCATGAGTTTTTCCTGTACTTTGGTTCAGTTTTTATTTCCTCCATTCTTTTGTAGTGGATCACCTGAAATTTGTCCTTATTGAACATGTCTGAGGCCCACTAGAAGACTTGATTTATATCAGCTTGATGGTCTCTGTCCCTTCAATGGACGCCACTCGCATAGATTCTGGTGTCATCAGCAAAGGATGGTGAAGTGCTATGGTTTATGTCCTTGTCTGGGTTGCATGTATGAATGAGAAGCAGAAGTGCTTTGAGAAACAAAGCTTTTCACTGACAGCCTCTTGACTTCTTTCTGTTTTCTACTACTATCTGGGTTCTATTTGTTAGAAGTTAAATATCCACCAGCCAACATTACCAGTTATTCCTTTTGGATACATTTTGTGTGTTATCGCACTATGATTTCCAGTGCATCCTAGGCCATATCATAATAGTCTGGCAGCTGTAAAAGGCAGGAGCAACCTGCTTTAATCCCATGCTGTCCTGGGCTGTACAATTGTTGTGATTCCATGTGATTAGCAGTCTTGCTTCTTAGAACCCATTCAGAGATTTTTGATGATGTGTGAAGTTAGTGCTATTGATCTATATATTTTTGTGATTGCTTTGCTGCCACATATGTGAAGTGGGGCAGTATTGGTGGTTTTTAATAACTGTGGTAGAGGGTGGGGGGAGGTCATTGTTAATGGTGATATGTACAGTATTTTGTATGCATTTGTTTCTATTTCTTTTACAAATGATCTTCATTTCTACAATTTTTGGTTCTGCATTTTGTGATTCATTCGATATGCATTACTGTTTTATCATTATTTGTAACATATTGTATTTGTATTGTATTTCAGATGCAGCAGCTGGAAGACAAATAAATATATAATATAATGGTGGTGAGATGACGAGGTGGGCATGAACAAGTGTGTAGTACAAGAACCAGAATGGTTGTGTGGTGATCATTCTTGTGTCCCCTGCCTGGGGCTGCCTGTTGCCACCCATTCTTTACACCTAGTTTTCCCTCACCAACCACAGGTTTTTCAATTAATATTACACATGGCATAACCATTCTTACAGTAATCAAGAGCTCAACTTGGGTTGTGGGGTTGGAGGCTGTGGGACACCATGAGTGAAGGAGGCAATAAATGGCCATGTGGAAGATGCACTTACCTCAACTATGCCAGTGCTGTGCGCTGCACTATGTGTACAGTTCCTCGCTCGCCACATCTTATTGTGGAAGCTGGAGCAGATATATATCAGCTTGCACCTCCATCACCAAGACAACCAGATGGTCCACCACCTCAGGAGGGGGACAAATGGCTTTGCCACTTGTGTACTTACCGGAATTATCCAAGAGCACTGAAATGTACACAGTGTCGCACACCACGCCTATCGTTAGCTGACCAAATGGCTAAATTTTCCTTGGCCAAACCTGTTTCGCCCTCACCAGTTAAATCCACTCTCACCACTACTCCTACCTCCATTCCTCTTCTTATTACTTTTGCCACTACAGCTACCACAACAACTGCTGCCTTAGTCACATCTGCAACTAAAATTGTTAATGCAGCCCCTACCACAGCCTCAATCTCAACTGCTAACAATAATGGTGGGCAGAGTCCTAATCAAGTTGTGGCAGCCCAGAGTGGCAGTGGTGTTCAGGGAGCTGGGGCAGAACATCAAAGCCCAGGGGGAGGCACACCACCAGGTGAAGCTGGTCGATGTAGTCCTCAGGGAGCAGGTGTGACTCAGCCTCAGACCCGCCATGAAACAGAGCCAGCTATACCCAGTTACAAGTGGAAATGCCGTGCATGTACATATGAGAACTGGCCCCGTTCGACTCGATGCGTTATGTGCACGACCCCTAAAGGTCTGTGTTCTCCTGCTGCACAGTCTCAACCAGCCCGGCTTGCTACCCCTCCCCCTCCAGGTGACAGTAAATATAATAATATATGTGCAAATAAGCCTAAAAATCCAAGTGAACCAAGTGAAATTCCAAACAATGTTGAAATTATACGAGAGTCTAGTGATAACCATCAAACTGAAAACAATGCCAAAAACAGGGAAAACATTAACGAGATTAATAAAGCACGTAATAGTGAGGCCCCTCAAGAACCGCAGCTAATTTCCCAGAGAAATTTAAATGAATCTAAGGAGAATCTCTCAAGTATCTCCTCCAGTGTAGGAGGAAATATTGCTTCTGGTGCTGTTAGTCACCGTGGAGAAGGAGCAATGGCACTCAACAATTACGAAACAGAACGACTGCTACGCCAGCTGAGACGACGTTTGCGGGAAGCAGATTGGGCTTGGTTAAATGCATGTAATGGTGTTGTAGAAGGCAACTATGAACCAGTAGAAGCTTATCTGTCAGCTGGTTTGTCTTGTGCATTTTATGGCTTGTTACAAATGAATATAGAGTATTGAACATTTTAGTATTCATGTAAATATCTCTAATATTGTACAGTGTATATTGTTAGTGTGTTTATAATGTGATTATATTTTCCTGTTCTTTAGAGACATTATGTGATAAATGTGTTTCCATATTAATAGGTGGTGATCCAATGAGGCAGCTCACGAGCGCAGATGTAAAGCTTTTGTCACGATCCTCTGCTTTTGATGAAGGACTTACTCTTGTGCATTTAGCAATCAGGTAAAATGGGAGTTTTTTATTATTTTAGTATTTTGTCTAGCCTTAGTAAGTATTTTTTATATAAATTTCTTCTGAATTTATATTTCAATTCTTTTACTGTGTGTGTGTATTCATCTATGTGTGGCTGCAAGAATCAAGTCACATCTCTTTGCCCTCTGTATGTGTGTGTGTGTGTTTATTTACAGCCTCTCCTCACTTAATGATTGAATTCTGTTCCCGAGACCAAGTTGGTAAACGAATTTGGTGCTAAGCAAAGAGCATACTATAATGGTAGTGGGTTTGTGTCAACCATCTTTGTTTTAATGTTACCTTTGCAGGATTTATAACATTTTTAGTATATTTTTAAATGTTTATATAGTAGTTTACTGTATATTGTAATAAACAGAATAGAGGAAATCGGCTCTAATGTACATTATTTAGGTATGCATACTGGTCAGAGAGCCTGTCGTAAGTCCAAGTCATCAGTAAACAAGTATATCGCTAAGTGAGAAGAGGCTGTATTTATTTATTTACATATTTTGAATGTGTGTGTATGTGGTGCAAATGACAAGAAAGAGTTAATTATGAATGAAAAGAAGCTGGATGTCCTAGCTCTCGGCAAAACAAAGCTGAAGGGGGTAGGAGATTTTCAGTGGGGAGAAATAAATCGGATTATGTCAGGTATATCTGAAAGAAGTAGAGCTGAGGAAGGAGTAGCTGTAATACTGAATGTTCAGTTATGGAAGGAAAGAGTGAACATGATACTAAGTGTTTATGCACCTGGAGAAGAGAGGAGTGCAGAGAAGAGAGAGATTTTGGGAGATGTTAAAGGCCCCCCATTATCATTTATCCCCGGCACTCCAAACTTACATACTATACCTTCTACGACAGTTTCTCCCATTTTAGCATTCAGATCCCCCAACACAATTACTCTCTCACTTGATTCAAACTCCCTAAACACTCACTTAATTAAACTTTGTATAGAGAGATGATTGGTAATAGATAATAAGTACAGTGGACCCCCGCCTTACGATGTTATTTCATTCCAGAAGTCTGTTCGGGTGCCGTTATAGACCGAATTTGTTCCCATAACGAATATTGTGAATTAGATTAGTCCATTTCAGACCCCCAAAAATACACGTACAAAAGCACTTACAAAAATACACTTACATAATTGGTTGAGTTGGGAGCTGATCGTAAGGCGGGGGTCCTCTGTATTTTAAGAAAAAGAGGATAAATAAGTACAGTAGGTCCCTGCTTTACAGCGTTCCGCTAATATGGACATTTCAAATTATGACCAAAACTTGTTATACGGTTCCCCTCACCTCACTTTCTAATACGATCACCGCGTGTCACTTGATTGTTTGCATTCTCTGTGAGTACATCTCTCCATTATGTCTGGAAACTTTCCAGAATTTCAAAGGTTTTAAAGTTATTGTGTATTTTATGTGTACTCTGATAATTATACTGATGTGTACCTGTACCTAAATAAACTTAAACACTATGTTGGTGTGCAGGTACGCATTAAAATCACTAAAAGTGCTCCCCTAGTTTTGACACCATAGTAATAATAATAACAATAATAATAATAATAATAATATGTAATAATAATCTTGGGCACATTAAATGCCTTATTTTACATTAATATAGACATTTTCATTGATCCAGCTATGATATTTTCAAAATTATATAAGAAACACATTACATAGCATATAAACATGATACAGTAGAGCCCCGCTTATATGGCAGGTTACGTTCCAGGCTATTGCCACAAAGTGGACATCACCAGAATGCAGAACACCATTTTTTTCCACTTATAAATTATATAAATGCTTGATAACAAGCTTACACTAACATATAGTATTAAGTTAGCCATAGAAATAAGCATTAAAAAACAATAAAAAATAATATACACACAGTACATTCATTACTTACCTTAAAATATTTGTAGTCTTAATATAGAGTGAGAAGTGTGTAGTATTTATTGTAAGAGGTCAGGTGTGGTAGGTATGGCCACCCTATCCACACATATTATACATTTAAAGCGCCCTAGAGTAATAGAATGCATGTACAGTACACTCATTATTTATCTTAAAATATTTGTAGTCTTAATGTAGGGTGGGAGGTGAATAGTATTTATTGTAAGAGGTCAGGTGTGGTAGATATGGTAGGTGTGTAGGTATGGCCACCCCACCCACACGTAATGTACATTTAAAGTACCCTAGAGCAATAAAATACATATACAGTGGTACCTCGAGTTACGAACTTAATTAGTTTCAGAAGGCTGTTCAAGTACTGATACCGAATGAATGTGTTCCCATAAGGAATGATGTAAATTATATTAGTCCATTTCAGACTCCCAAAAATACACTTACATGTAGGTAGTAGGTTGGTAGACAGCAACCACCCAGGGAAGTACTACCGTCCTGCCAGATGACTGTGAAACAGAAACCTGTAACTGTTTTGCATGATGGGAGGATTGCTGGTTTCTTTTTCTGTCTCATAAACACGCTAGATAACAGGGATATCTTGCTACTCTTACTTACACTTTGGTCACACTTCACAGACACGCACATGCATATATATATATACATACATCTAGGTTTTTCTCCTTTTTCTAAATAGCTCTTGTTCCTCTTTATTTCTTCTATTGTCCATGGGGAAGTGGAAAAGAATCTTTCCTCCGTAAGCCATGCGTGTCGTATGAGGCGACTAAAATGCCGGGAGCAATGGGCTAGTAACCCCTTCTCCTGTAGAAATTTACTAAAAAAGAGAAGAAGAAAAACTTTATAAAACTGGGATGCTTAAATGTGCATGGATGTAGTGCGGATGACAAGAAACAGATGATTGCTGATGTTATGAATGAAAAGAAGTTGGATGTCCTGGCCCTAAGCGAAACAAAGCTGAAGGGGGTAGGGGAGTTTCGGTGGAGGGAAATAAATGGGATTAAATCTGGAGTATCTGAGAGAGTTAGAGCAAAGGAAGGGGTAGCAGTAATGTTGAATGATCAGTTATGGAAGGAGAAAAGAGAATATGAATGTGTAAATTCAAGAATTATGTGGATTAAAGTAAAGGTTGGATGCGAGAAGTGGGTCATAATAAGCGTGTATGCACCTGGAGAAGAGAGGAATGCAGAGGAGAGAGAGAGATTTTGGGAGATGTTAAGTGAATGTATAGGAGCCTTTGAACCAAGTGAGAGAGTAATTGTGGTAGGGACTGAATGCTAAAGTAGGAGAAACTTTTAGAGAGGGTGTGGTAGGTAAGTTTGGGGTGCCAGGTGTAAATGATAATGGGAGCCCTTTGATTGAACTTTGTATAGAAAGGGGTTTAGTTATAGGTAATACATTTTTTAAGAAAAAGGGGATAAATAAGTATACAAGATATGATGTTGGGCGAAATGACAGTAGTTTGTTGGATTATGTATTGGTAGATAAAAGACTGTTGAGTAGACTTCAGGATGTACATGTTTATAGAGGGGCCACAGATATATCAGATCACTTTCTAGTTGTAGCTACACTGAGAGTAAAAGGTAGATGGGATACAAGGAGAATAGAAGAAATCAGGAAGAGAGAGGTGAAGGTTTATAAACTAAAAGAGGAGGCAGTTAGGGTAAGATATAAACAGCTATTGGAGGATAGATGGGCTAATGAGAGCATAGGCAATGGGGTCGAAGAGGTATGGGGTAGGTTTAAAAATGTAGTGTTTAGAGTGTTTCAGCAGAAGTTTGTGGTTACAGGAAAGTGGGTGCGGGAGGGAAGAGGAGTGATTGGTGGAATGATGATGTGAAGAGAGTAGTAAGGGAGAAAAAGTTAGCATATGAGAAGTTTTACAAAGTAGAAGTGATGCAAGGAGGGAAGAGTAAAATGGAGAAAAGGGAGAGAGGCTAAGAGAGTGGTGAAGCAATGTAAAAAGAGAGCAAATGAGAGAGTGGGTGAGATGTTATCAACAAATTTTGTTGAAATAAGAAAAAGTTTTGGAGTGAGATTAACAAGTTAAGAAAGCCTAGAGAACAAATGGATTTGTCAGTTAAAAATAGGAGAGGAGAGTTATTAAATGGAGAGTTAGAGGTATTGGGAAGATGGAGGAATATTTTGAGGAATTGTTAAATGTTGATGAAGATAGGGAAGCTGTGATTTCGTGTATAGGGCAAGGAGGAACAACATCTTGTAGGAGTGAGGAAGAGCCATTTGTGAGTGTGGGGAAAGTTCGTGAGGCAGTGGGTAAAATGAAAGGGGGTAAGGCAGCCGGGATTGATGTGATAAAGATAGAAATGTTAAAAGCAGGTGGGGATATAGTTTTGGAGTGGTTGGTGCAATTATTTAATAAAATGTATGGAAGAGGGTAAGGTACCTAGGGATTGGCAGAGAGCATGCATAGTTCCTTTGTATAAAGGCAAAGGGATAAAAGAGAGTGCAAAAATTATAGGGGGATAAGTTGTTGAGTATACTGGCAAAGTGTATGGTAGAGTTTATTATTGAAAGAATTAAGAGTAAGACGGAGAATAGGATAGCAGATGAACAAGGAGGCTTTAGGAAAGGTAGGGGGTGTGTGGACCAGGTGTTTACAGTGAAAATATAAGTGAACAGTATCTAGATAAGGCTAAAGAGGTCTTTGTGGCATTTATGATTTGGAAAAGGCGTATGACAGGGTGGATAGGGGGGCAATGTGGCAGATGTTGCAGGTGTATGGTGTAGGAGGTAGGTTACTGAAAGCAGTGAAGAGTTTTTACGAGGATAGTGAGGCTCAAGTTAGAGTATGTAGGAAAAGGGAAATTATTTCCCAGTAAAAGTAGGCCTTAGATAAGGATGTGTGATGTCACCGTGGTTGTTTAATAATTTTATAGTGGGGTTGTAAGAGAAGTAAATGCGAGGGTCTTGACAAGAGGCGTGGAGTTAAAAGATAAAGAATCACACATAAAGTGGGAGTTGTCACAGTTGCTCTTTGCTGATGACACTGTGCTCTTGGGAGATTCTGAAGAGAAGTTGCAGAGATTGGTGGATGAATTTGGTAGGGTGTGCAAA